ATAATTGCGAAGAATGCCATCGAGTGTCGGAGATGCGCCCATCTTCCACCCTTGCTGGTTTCCCGAGTCTGCTAGGCAGGTGATGAAACAGAGGGCCTCACCACGATCCACATCACGATCCACAGCAGTCGGTTATGGAAAACCATTTATAAGAACTTTACAGGGTGGCGTAACCTACGACCACAAGGTTCGGTAGATGCGATTTTTTCAATTTTTATAAAGAGAAGTATATAGTCGTTATCCTAAACAAATTTATCACTGAAAAGTAGCGACTTGGTGGCTATTAAGGTCTAACTTAATGTTAAATGTGTTCACAGATGGGGACATGACAATGTCCGCGAGCAGAGCATTGCATGCCTGATTTAGGAAGACTTTTACAGGACCGCGTAGCCTACCCCCGTTCGGTGTAGGCGATTTTTGCAATTCTTATCCAGACAGTCTAATAGTTATTCTAAATATATTGCACATCACTGATTTCAACATACTCCCAGAATAGGTACTAGCTATGAACTCAGACATGCGTTTTGCGGATCACTGAAGCATAAACTGAAATATAATTAGGAGATGCTATCAGAGACATGCCATTTTTACGAGACTTTTTCTCTCCAGTGCTTTCTACCAACGGGGGGGAGTCATTTGAGTTCCGGAATGTCTTTGACGGTTTTCTGAGTGTCCTCAGTCGAATGATTGATTCTGTATTTTACGTTTAGTATAACCGTGAAATAAGGCAGTTCTCGAAAGAATTTACCCAAGTACTGACTTATTGGCAGTTTTGTTTTATACAACTTGACGGTGAAACGAACTTGTAACCGAATCACCGAAGGAAATATTCTTCCTGCAATGAATATGCTCTCGATCATAAAATAAACCCCCTGATAAGTTACCTTTTCAAAAATCGATTTAATAGGGTATTTTTGCTGATGAATGTGGCCACGTTTTTCATATATTTTTGGGAAATTTTATTCGCTTATACATTCCTTTGAGAAGTATTCTGGTTTAGGCGAAACCACTCTCTACGATTTATGTTTACTTTATCTTGGACTCCATTCTATCAATTTAAGTAGACTAAAGTTTAATCATATGCATATTAAAATAGTTCTTACCTTGGTTATGCTGTTTCCTTGTAAATTATGTACCAGCGGGCAGTAGACCACACGGAGAACATCGCAAAAGTTAACTTGGACGGTTAATAGTGGGCCATTGCACTGTTACCTACGAAATATTTAAAGATGACTACAAATTAAGGCCGGGTTGCAATAAAAGATCTCTTGGCGTTCGAAGGCGTTATTGGGTCGCTTAAATCACAAAACACGCACATTAACACATCATGATCTTTGAGGAAAATAAATCCCTCTTCCTGAACCGTCACATCACGCTTCGTCTGATTTACGTGGACTGAAAAAGCGAAATGCCAATTCGACCTAAAATATCTGCATTTTGGGGTTTTGCCATCTGCACAGATATGGTCCATGTCAGTTAGTAACACAAGAACTCTCTGCCCAACTATCTAAAGTTTTAGTTGGTAAAACGACTTACGAGTGTATATGCCGCATTAGAAAGTTGTTATTTTCAGAAGGAGTTCTGAGAATCTCGGATTCGTTTTCCTGACTTTAGCACCGCATTTCGGGAGTTATGTCATTTATTACACACGTATATGTATTAGGTAGGCAGGTTGCTAGGAGGGTCCGACAGTTCTCGAGGATGTTCAGGCCGAAGCAACGCCGTGACTCCCGCGGGAATATAGAAAAAGTAGACTCGCGGTGAATCTATCCCACTCCCTCTCTCACCACTCCCACACCGGAACCCAATGTCAAGACAAAATTCGAGAAGACCGGAGGGATGTGGCAGGGTGCAGGCGGCTGGCGCGACCAATATGCGTACCAAAAGCACGCCTCGCTAAGTAGGCTCCCAGCTGGGATCACCATAAAGGCCAAATTTAGGAAGCAGCCATTGCAGCCTGACTCTCAGTCCGCCGGTCAGCCACTCCACACAACAGGACGCACACTGGACTGACTGCGGTATCCAAGTTATCCCGTCAGTTAGCAACCCTCCAAGCCACGACTTTTAGCGCACCGCGTGATAGCTTCAAGAGCATCAGATTGTTTTAATGGGGAAGGGAGTGCCCTGATTGTCGACCTCACTCTCTCCTCCACCGCCAGCAACAGGCCATCGCCTAGCTGATGATGGGTGCAGTGCTAAGAAGGAAAGCAAGTCGGAGATGAACTTTTTAGGGCAGGTTGTGCGAGGGAAGAGGAAAGGAGGAAGAAAGAGGGAGAGAGCGAGAAAGAAGAATAAAACGAAAGAGGCAACAAGAAAGGGAACCAGGTACCAGGTCAAACGCAGACAGCTTTTTCGCGGTTGTTACCGATCGTCAGTACTCTATTGCTATTATCACTATAATTGCTAGCATGATTGTTACCACCACCACCATAACCACGGCCACAATTGCCTCAAATATTTATTTGATAATGAGAACAGCATGTCCTTTATTTTTCGTTCAGGTTTGATGAAAGTCCGGACAACGGTTTCTCTCGCCTTCAGCCTGGCCTAGGCACCGCAGACAATGGAAGCACAACTGAGGATGAAAAGAAGTGCCTTATCCTGCAGAAGGTCTCCGGTTGGTGGGTGCAGCGGAGCTGTGATGGTGGGTCGCCGCCGCAGCCTGGTGATGATGGGCATAACCCGCCTCCCATGGCGGTCTGCAAGACCCGCCTTCCCGTCATGACAAGTACTTCCACGCCTGACACACTCTTTCTACCATTGTCTGCGTCAGAGGACTTAGGCGTTAAGGAGGAGACGGACTACCGGTAAGCTGATTCGCTCATCTCCTTGAGA